AACCCCTCCACTCAATCCACCAAGAAAGTGTGTAGTGTTTTAGAAGTTTTCCCCACCTAGATCAAGAAGAAAACACAACCCAAGAGTACAAGAGGCCAAGAAAGAAAAACTAAAAAGGCACAATTAAGAAAAGGCTAAACTCAAATGGAATTTATGAGACAAACTTAAGAGTAGAAGAAAGACTCAAAAACTGAAATTAAGGCACATTAATAAAAGGAAAGCACACAAAAGAGTAATTCCTAGAATGGCACTAGAATAGAATTTAGCAAGTAGGCTTAAAAGAAAAAATTATGCACTTAACATGTTTGATTTATTGTCTCATTCGGCCATTAAGTATTGTCCAATGGTCCAAGAATTAACTCCAAGTGCTATGGTATGAAAGTTGGTCCAAAACTCCACAAGTCTAGCAAAGGTTCCCTTTTTCTTGTTTTTGGTTTCTTTGTTCTTTTTGGGCTTGTCCAAGTCTTGGCTTTTTTTTTTTTTTAAAGTCCAGCCACTTTTCTCTTTTTTCTTTTGAATTTTATACTATTCCTTTGCTTGGGTTTTACACTTGTTTTTGGTGGTTTTGTTAGCAACTTTTTGGAGTATTCTTTTAGCAACTTACACTAGCTCAATGAGACAAAATTTGAGTGTTTTTCTTAAGTTTTTAATAGCCCACGTCCAGCAGCAAAGATAGGCATATTGAAATCAATTTCACACTCAAATTATCAAACATCATGTAGGCATACAAGTTCACCAAGGAATACACAAAAAATTGGCCGAAAATTTGAAGTAAGTATGTGTAAAGGAATTAATCACACATGATATTTTAAGTGATGTAGAACATGCTAGAACTAATTAGCATGCATGATTGACTCTCTAAAGCACATCAAGGACTCACGGCCATTTTATCAAACAAGTGGCATGCATGTCATTTTTTGTTCATTTCAAAGGCTAAGCATAAAAAACTTGGAATTTCTTTCAAGGTAGTTCAAAGAGACAAGCTTATGACAAAACCGGATGGATTAAAAAAATAAAAACATTAATGTATAACATGCAGCCCAAAATTTCCAGCAACTCAAAAATTTAAAGAAAAAAGCAAGAACCTAAATAAGAAAGCCTAAAATGCCAAGATGATTCACAAAGAACATATGGTATGAATCAACACATGAGAAGAGATTTATGGATCATCAAAATATGGCAATTAAGATGATTCATTTAGGCACACTTAGGAGACATGTAAGGAAGACATGACATGACCGAATATTTTTAGAGATAAAGAGATTGTTACCCTTGAAGAACCAAGGCTCTAGATACCACTTGATGGCATCCTTACTTGCATGAACTTGAGATGATGAGCAAGGAGGAGGACGCCTTCTCCAAGGATCAAGTTCTTCAAAGGTGGACCAAGGTTTTAGGGTGGATGATGATGGAATGGACGAAAATGAAGGTTGGGTAGAAGGTGTTTGAGGAAATGCTTGAGAATGGTACTCTAGGGTTGGCTCACTTCATGATGATGAAGGCCACTTCTAGGGTTGTTTCTCTCAAGGTGGAGATGGTAGGGTTTGGCCGAAAATAGCCAAGGGTGACTAAGGAAAGATATAAAGGCACTAAAGGCTCTCTTTATATTCAATATCCAAAGTATTTACAAGGTGTGGGGTGTTGGGTATTTATAGGAGGGGAGGCATCTAGGGTTGCATTTGGAGTAGGCAAATGCATTCCAAATGAAATGCAAATGAACCCTAGATGCAACTTGGTGGCCAAGGATGGAATCTTTGGGTTTAGATTGGCTATATCTAGGTGCATGATAAGACCATGCAACCTTTGCCCTCCACTTGGGCCTAAGCCTTTCTAACACCAAAAATAGATCCAATGAACACCAAAAAAATGCGTCACCCTTCTAGTTAACACCCTAGCCCAAAATTAAAAACCCTAATCATCTAGAGCACCCCATAATACAAGGGTAAAAAGGGAAATACAAGGGAAAATAAATTCTAAGTCCTAAACACCCCAAAATACAAGGGTAAAATTGGAAATACAAGTAAAATAAATTCTATGATTAAAAAGAACTTAGGAGCTAAGGTCCAAAAGTGGCCTCACTAACCCATTCCTCTTGCCTCCTTTAATATATCACCTCTTGGTCTTCTCGGCCTTAGTGTTATTCCATCACTCTCCAAGCTTCCTTCTCCTATATATTTGTTTTTCCTTCATTGTAAAACACTTTTGGCATATATTGAGATTTATTTATGAAGAATTTTTCAACAAAGTCTGTCGTAGTTGATTATCATGTGGAGTACCGCATTGCCATCATCACCTACCTCCTGAGTCACGCTCTTACCTATCGACCCTTGCAGCCCCATTGAAGACACCGATGTTGGTGCTTGGGTCACCGAGCACTTGGCCGCAACATGGCCATACATCCCGCATTTCTTACAGATTAAATGAAGCCCCTCGTACTCAATTTTAAACCAGTGGTTACGAAACCACACCCTTCCAACCACTGGTTTATTTAAGTCAATCTCCACGCACACCCTAGCGAAGCGTCCTCGAGATGCATCAATCGTACATATGTCCACCTTCACCGGTATGCCTGCTGCGGTTGCTAAAGCCAGAAGAATGCTTTCATCATAATATTCCATGCCCAAACATGGGAATCAAATCCAAACTAAAGTGCTTTCAAGCTTGACTTCAGAAGCAATGAAGTCTAGAACCCATGGACGAACAGCCAAATAGTGATCAAAAACCATCCACGGCCCTCCACCGATCACATGCTCCTTATCCCGAGGCAGATCAAACTTAACCACATAAAAACCGAAGCCGACGTCAACCATATCAAACCCGCCTTGTAGCTTCCACATGGATTGTAATTTCTCCTTTAATGTGAGAAAATTGACAAACTTCCCCAATAGCTTCACTATCACAGCGTCTTTCCACGGTTCCCAGAGGTCTTGGAGGACAAAATCATCCACAAAGCATTTCGGTCGAAGTCGATCGCCCCCTTCATACTCAATATGAAACTTCTCTTAGGCAATTAGATCCACTTTCTCCTTCCTTGGAGAAGTCGAGCGACCCATCGCCTTGTCACGGAAAGAGACATGTGTAGACACCCTTTCTTGCCTGCTGTCAGGAGACCTCGGAGGGGGTTGAAGTCGTGACCTCCCTACACCTTAAGGTTTGACATAATATTAATTGATTCAATAAATATTAATAATTTTAAAACACTTCTAAATAAATATAGAGATGCGAAATATCTCAACTCTATTAGTAACTAATAATAGTAATGTCATTCGTGCAAGCATCAATGTTGATACCTATAAAAGTACAAAAAAAAAATCCATTAATCAAGTTAATGGAATCATGTAACATTTTACCAAAAACAATCATAAGCATACATACATATATACATATATATATATATATATATATATATATATATATATATATATATATATATATATATCTATATATTATTTCAA